TCGTTTACCAAGCGACTGATAAACCTCTCGTTCTCGAATCTTGCTTCGTTCCTTAATGTGAGCACATTTGCACATTATTAGTTAACCATGGACCTTTACATACCTTTACCCGGTCGCGATCTGAATATCGATCTCGGCTTTTACTTCGGCTCCTACTTCGCCTCCGCTTGTCTTCCCGTCTTTCATCTCGTCTTTCTCTGTCACGTCTATCCTCCCGGCCACCTTTTCCCCCTCGACCTTTATTCCTTCCATTTTTCTCAGGTGAATCACGCCTTCGTCTAATAGGCGAGTACTTGGTCCTGAAAAAAGAAATTAAATGAAAAAGAGAGAGAGAGAAAAAAAGGAGAAATTTACTACGATAAAAAACAATCCAAGAGCATGTAAAATTGTTTGTCTACAAAATGGAGTATAATGGAGTGTACCGGAAGTTCGAAGTGAACGACAAGTATATAATTGTTCTTAAAACGCACATTCATAATCTGTTTTCTCGAATGTATTCAGAACCCCTCAAAATGTCAGTTTGTTTTTCAAAGTTGTCGTGCCAAATTATAACCTACACAACCGAAAAGCACAACTACAGTTCGATAAGTAGCGGTGATAAGCGGCTAAATTGCTGGTTTCTTCCAAAGATTCTTTCGTTCAAATATGTTTTGAACATATTCAGAAAAGACTTGTCAATTATGAACGCCACTATATATTTCCGCAGCATCGAAATTCTTGTTACTACAAACAGTCACTAAGAGACAAACAACCTTCCAAACCTTTCACAAGAATACTTTGAGAATGTACTCAAAAAAACAAATCATTTCTAGGACCGTTTGTTTTGGAAGTTCAGCCTCGCAGACAGGAAAAATTAGTCGCGCTAATGTAACGCTGCTTTTTTGATTTCTCGAAGGAAAGAAACCGCCAGAAATGAAGAGTTGGGCTTTTATTACTCTACCCCACACATAGAAGCATATATCGCGTCCAAGGATGTATAAAATTTTCCCCTTATTGTCGAATTTGACTTTCATAAATTTCGACGGCAATTAGGAATTTGTAAAGCAAATGAATGGCGAAGCCTGATATATAAAATGGAGAAGGAATGTCCCGTCTTTAAACGGTTGACAAAGTCTATGTATAATCCAAATTGCAGCATCCTCATACGCAAAATTCAAGGAGCTGAGAAGATCGAAAGCAGCACCCAATGGCGAAACATACCGTCTTGGACTCCTTGATCGAGACTTTGTACGTGATCGGCTACGGCTTTTACCTCGACGTTTCTTCACATCTTCTCGATCGGAGTCTAGAGAACATCATTGTTAGGGAACAAGTGGAACAGTTACCACTAATACATAAAATCGACATGCTAAAAATGGGAACGGGAAATATAATAGGAATGTAGATTTACCTTCATCAGCTTTCTTCTTTTCGACGGCGAGCTTCTGAGCGACAAGTTGTGCTTTCGCAGCCTTCTGTTCAGCCTCAATCTTTGACCGCAATTTCTCGATTTTTTCGTCCATTTCTCTCCAGCTGACAGCCTGTATGGCAGAAATTGCAAACAAGAAAGCACATTTTTTGACAGCTACATTTTCACTTATGAAAACAACCACACCTTTTGGTTGGCATACATATTCAAGAGCATCATAGCTATCGTGTGTACATCAGTATCTGACGCATCAAAAAGCTCATACCTGAACATATCTTGCAGTGTTACAATAACTACAGATAGGTAGTGAAAAATTGGAAAGAAATCATTGGCCAGTTCATTCCACCTACCAATTCCTAGGTTTGTCAGGGAGCGGTACTTGTGGCTGAACTGTTCGAGAAGCTAGAAAAATACAAGCGCACGCAATAGTCTCTGGTGAATACCGCACAAACATGTCCGTTCTCAATCCATCGTTCATATACGTCCTGAAATAAACCTTAGCGCTTTCGGATTTTCTCAATATGTGAAATTAACTTACCATGCTCTCTGGATAAGGTCAGTACGATGATGCGCACGTAAAACATAACAATATGCACATATCAACTTATGCGGATGCTTCACGTGAACGACAAATCCTAACGTTGCCAGCAGCCTCCTTTCCGCTTTTATCATCTGAAAATCAATCATTCAGCCGAAAAGCTACAGTACAGAGAAAGCTTGACTTTTTTTAAGAAGAATTTGAGCAAACATCTCTATCTCTAATCACATCATACCTATAAAGTCGTCTAAAAATTACACGTTAGCAAAAAGACAAGCTTTCAA